GCGGCCGCATGGCTGTTTTGGTCAGGGCTCTATTGCAGCCGCATGGCTGGTAGTGCCATGCGACCGCATGGACTACCAGTATGCTGAAATTTTTTTTTTATAAGCAAGCATCAAGGCTCGTGTCAATTGATGTAAAATGAGTGGTTTAAGGTAAGTAAACATGAAAATACCGTAAAGTCCATTCAAGCTGGCCCTGACCTGTCCATTGCAGCCGCATGGCTGGTAGTGCCATGCGGCCGCCGCATGGACTACCAGTATGCTGAAATTTTTTTTTATAAGTAAGCATCAAGGCTCATGTCAAGTGATGTAAAATGAGTGGTTTAAGGTAAGTAAACATGAAAATACCGTAAATTCCATTCAAGCACGACAAACTCAAGTTTGCTTGATTTTTCATTAGAATCCTGAGGCCTAACCACCCCTCGACTGCGTAAAACACATTCCAACTCACTATGTGTGCATTTTAAAATATGGATCTCATTCCAAAATCAAATTGAACCTGAAAACATAGGTGAATTCCAAAAAACACAAAAGTTGACCATTTTGCCCCGAAACACGTGAATTTTGCACAGAATGGAACAATGATCAATGTAACATCCCCAAGTTGATTATCAACACTTGATAAATCGCGTGAGATCATGTAAGCACTCTGAAGAATTTCTAGGGTTGATGATTAGCTAAGCATGCTCAAAATGGGAGAAAACAAGGAAAAATTCAATGTTTCACCAAAAACCTCTTTTCATCTCACATTGCCAAAATAACACTCCAAAGTGATTGCAACCTATCCAAACCAATTTCTAACCTTAACATGCGCATGGATGCAAGACTTGGTTTGAAAAAGCATGTTGGAACACAAAAACACATTTTGACCTCAAAATCCCAGTTTTTGAACAATGAGTCCCCTAATGCATCCAATACCCCCAAAATTTATCAAATCACATTTCACTTCCTGAGGTGTTGATAAACAATGATAACACATCCAAAACCAGTATCAACCATGAAAACACATGTTGGACCGAAAAAAAAACTCATTTAGCCTAGATATGCGTGAGTTTTAGTCCCAAACTCCCAAAAATGATTCCAACACCACGTAATACATGTATAACACATTCAAAACTAAGAGGAATTACTCATGAGTGCTGTGTGAACGGCTAAGCAAACGGTGACCTAGAACTACGTGATCAATGCATAAAAAATAAAAACTACTTAAATAAAAGCAGAAAGAAAAATAAGTAAAAGGGTAGAAATGATGGGTTGCCTCCCATCCAGCGCTAGTTTATAGTCGATAGCTCGACTGTACCGTATGGAGATCATTCTGGTGGTTGAAGATGAACGATGGATTTGTCTTTTGAGAAATCCCCGCTCCAATAGTGCTTTAAGCGCTGCCCGTTGACTTTG